TATTCAAAGCAACAGCATATGCTTTGATCCAAAAGACAGGTGGAATCTTGAGAGAAAAAGATGTTTTTACAGATAACAAACAGGCTTAGTTCTTTTGTACAAAATCAACATTAAAGACACTAAATAATTAGACATACTCACATGCATTTGTACATACACACATGCATGCACATGTGCATACACAATACACACATGCATCACACACACATAAGAACAGAGTGAAGAATTTTTAGAATTTAACTTCATAAATTCTAGAAACATCAACAACAGCATTGACCCAAAGTGCAAGATCTAAAAGCAAGTCATTGAGATTAATGTCAGCATGTTTGTTTATAGCCCAAAGCCAAACTCTATGGATGGGAAAAAATGCAGTGCAATGATTTTGTTAAGCGAATTCAAATGATATTCAACTGAGGTGGTACTATTTTTTTAAAATATATTTTTATTGATTTCAGAGAGGAAGGGAGAGGGAGAGAGAGATAGAAACATCAATGATGAAAGAGAGAATCATTGATCAGCTGCCTCCTGCACGCCTCATACCTGGGGATCGAGCCTGCAACCCCGGCATGTGCCCTTGACCGGAATCGAACCTGGGACCCTTCAGTCCGAAGGCCGATGCTCTATCCAGTGAGCCAAACCAGCGAGGGCTGAGGTTGTACTATTGAAAAAGCTTTAAATGGCAGTAGGAGCTATTGATAACTATTTGTCACAGTTATCTTTTTTAATTCAAGAGATATATGTTATAAACTGACTTTGCCAAAGACATAGACCCTGTTGTCCTGGAGAAAATAGAAGAAAAAGACATAGTCTTTCCTTTTGATTTGCTCATAACAGCAGGAAGTAATGGCACTAACAGTGGTACAATAGTAACACAGCAAATATTTGAACAGTGATTACTCTGTGTAAGTCACTGTTACAGATGCTTTAAATTTATCAGTAATTTACTGCAACACTATGAGGATGGTGAGGTAGGCAGGTACCTAAAAGTGATAATGCTATACAATGTGAGGCCCCAGTTGTTCGTAGAGACTAAAGAACTTGTTTTAGAGGAAGGGGATGTGTGGTGGATGGGCATGGCCTTGAGTTCCCATAGTCTGTCTACCCCAGTACACATGCAGTTTTGGACTTTCACTGCAACGCTCTGCTATTTAGTTTTTGCATTAATGATATTTTTAAATGCACGTAAATGCTCAAACCTCCGAGGGAAGGTAGGGGAGGGTGGGGGTAAGGGGGAGAGATCAACCAAGATACTTGTATGCATGCGTATAAGCATAATCAGTGGATTCAGACAACAGAGGGTGAGGGTGAGGGCAGGACTGGGGCGATGGGGGGCAGTGGCGGGATAACCACACATTTGGTTAATCAATAAAAAATAAAAATAAATAAAAGCACAATTTTATTAGATGTTTGAATTTATTAAAAAAAAAAGATGTGTGTAAAACCCCTCGTTGGTACTCAGCTCTTACTATCAAGTTTTATTATTAGGTGAGGGGGTTGCCAGAACACTCATAAAGATTTCATTAAGAAATGGAAGAAAAAGTTCCATGAGAAAGAAGGACTTTAGGATTTAAACAACTAAACATTATAACTAAGACAGAGATTGACCACCTTTAAGGACCAAATAGTAAACGATTAGGCTCTGCAGGCCACACAGACGATGGCAATTAATTTAAAGAACCCAGTTTTGTATTTTGGGGAAGACTGTGCCAAACAAGCTCTTCTCTCTTCCACTGTCTCCAGCATAGATGGCACTTGACAAGTGACAGAGCAGCTTTTAGCATCTGAGGATGCTTTGTGGGGATCACCTATCTGGGTCTACGTGACTCACATCTGATTCTAGGTTCTTATTACTCCTACATTTTGATTACGGTTGTGGACAACAGCATGGAAGTGTTTAAGTTAAATTTCCAATTACATATAGTTTCCAATGATATGTAGATTCAAATATTGAATAGGACCTGTTTAGACATTACCTGTTTCCTTCGCTTTCCTCTTCCTTTGTCTTTCCTCAATTGTCATTTTAACAAATTTCCCCAAGTATAACCCTGCTCATTAAATCTTCAAAGTTATGAAGTGCATTGCTTATATAAAAATCAATAAGAAAGAGAAACAGGAGTTAATGTTTTATTGCATAAGATTTTTCTTCAATTAGTTTAACAATCCTATCCATCACACCACACCCCTCTTTGAAAAACTAGCTGTCTGGCTGATTCTGATTTGCTCTGAAGATCATTTTGTGCAGCAATTCCTTTGTAATTTTGATTCATAGCCCTTCATATGAATTCTTTTATTGCTCTATTTTCATAATAGCTTTTAGGCAGCCAATCCCCATGCAGGATGCGGTGTTTCTTGATGATTTAGTGGCATCCAGATGTCTGTACCTCATGTTGTTGCCTTTTAGACACATTTTTAAAAACTCAAGTTGCTTTAAAATAATTGCATTCATTTGTGCAGTAAACTTGAAATTATTCTGTCATAAGTCAGTCAAACTTCGACTGGAATACAGAAATACTTGGCATCTCTTTTGGTAAGCCTGCATGACTATCTTAAAAGTTGTGGTGGTTTTCAGTTATTTTAAAAGGAGATGGTCAACAGGATTTTTGAAAAACACAAGCTATTATACGTAGACAAAAATGTGCGAAAGTAAGATCTCTCTCATATAATTTGTCAGTTTTATAGGTAGTATAAGAACAAATGCAATAGGCTAATAGCCAGGCTATTTGTGTCATGCTGAGAGTTTCTAAGGTATTTATTAGTAGGTAAATAAGAATGCTTTGTTTTATTCTTAGCAGTACCCAAATTAAATATTAGATTCCTTGTGTAGACCCAAGAAAACTTGAATGCCAAGGTCAGGTTTTCTGCAGGAGGATTTGCATCAGATTACCCGGTGCCTTTTAAATACGTCTGCTTGTGTCTTTCCTGAATCTTCTAAATTAAATCTTGGAAGGGGAGGGAATATGTTAGAATGTTCCCCTGAGTGGTCTTGATTCTCACCTTTGGTTGAGAACCATTAGGCTCAAAGTACTTTCAGGTACTAGACAAAAAGGTAGCCTTGTAAACATGTCATGGGATTCGTTAATAAGGTGTTGTTTAGGGCAGCGGTCGCCAACCGGTGGTCTGTGGACCACTGGTGGTCCATGAGGTCCGAAAGGTTGGTGACCGTTGGTTTAGGGTGCTACTATTTTTCTATGACACCTCAGATAAGAATTGAGAATTTTCTCACAGTAATTCTATGAAGTTATCTGTGGTCAAGAAAAACAATATACCTGTTTCTTCCCCCACCTCCCATTCAGCCAACAGGATTCTCTGGGACAAAGGTATAGTTCAGTTTTAAGGCTCTCATGGCCTGGATGCCAGTGTTCCAGTTTTTTTCTAATTAAAGAAGAATTTATTGAGCCCCTTCTATGTACCATATTCATTATAGGCACTGAGAATGCTAGTAATGAGCAAAAACGTCTGGAGCTTACATTCTACTGGATGAGACATTAAGAAGATAAATATTTCAGCAAGTGCTTACTGGTCTAGGTATCATAAACTTATTTTGAGTATTAATTTACATATTTCTCTGGTGTATTAATCAGAGATGAGCCATGGAATCTCTTTATGTATTGTTTATGTTCAAACACACACAATGTATAAATTTATATTTTATATATACCTGGCATATGTCATAGACATTGCATATTTATACACATATTGCATATTTATATACACATAGTGCGTGTGCATGTATATACAGATATATATATACCCTTTGTTGTATTTATATAACTGCATTGTTTATTTTAATCAGCGCCGCATCCTTGTGGGGTGAGGTGTAATACCTGTGCACCTATATGTGTGCACACAGGCATACTCAGACAGGCTGAATTAGGCTTACATCTCAACATTACATTTTAGCCCATTTTTCTTAGTGCTTTTGTTGTTGTTGTTAAATACTGACAAGTAAGTTTTGCTTTATATTTGATAGTATTTCTTTCCATTTCTTTCCTTTTTGAAATCTCTGTTTTACATCATTAAATGTAAAGAATATTTTGGGACAGTTTTCAGTGCAGAAATTGAGATTAAAATTCATGAGAAACCATGAGCCTCTATATCCCTTGAAGAAAGAGCAGCCTGTTATTATTGTAAAAAGTCACCATATTGAGAGTAGAATCCTTTTTCTTCACACCTGGTGCCACCGCAGTAATACATTTAATGCTCCTTACATGTTTTTCTGCCACCATCTGGTTTGACTAGGGTCATTATTTTTTTTTTTTTTGAGGATTGTGTTGGCATGGTAATCCTCTTGAAAAGTTACAGAATCAAGATCCTGGAATATAACTGAGAGCCATCTAATATAAATAAAGAGAGAGAGAGAGAGAGTGTGTGTGTGTGTGTGTGTGTGTGTGTGTGTGTGTGTGTGTGTGTGTGTATGCTGATGGAAAATGGCAGAGGGGGACTCTGGGTGCTTCCTTGAGAAGAATCCCTGTGTTGTCCGGCTGCCCAACCTCACCTGCCTCTTCAGCTGCTGTCTCTGTACCTGGAGCACCTGAACTGTCAAAATTATAACAAAGTCCCTGAAATCAATGAAAATGTCCTTTTCAATGAGAAATTCAGTTGAAAGTTACATTTCTCTTTCCTTTCAATGTGCTCCCCTCATTCCGCCCCCGCCCCCCGGGATATTGCAGTTAAATGACATGGTTGAAGAAGGTTACATTGATGTCCCTATTGGAAAAGATTTTAAAATCTTATCTGTTGTCTTTCAAATAATACTCTAAAGTCCTGTATTTGTCCCTGCAGTGTTTGGCAGCAGAGCGGAAAGAAGCGTTTAGAGTTTTCTGTGAGCCAGGACAGCAGTAAGGATTCTGATTGGCATTATTATCTATTACTTTTGAATGCTGATGGTGCATTTTTTGTGGCTGAGTCCTTCCCATGCTTATTGACCTTCATAAATGAAAACGCTCTGCTTTACTGACTACTTAATTGGCAATTTAATTTTTCTAATAACTTTCTTGCAGGACCTGGATTTTGAAGCCAAAACAAGTTACACACTACGGATAGAAGCTGCAAACAAAGATGCTGACCCTCGCTTTCTGAGCTTGGGGCCGTTCAGTGATACGACGACCGTGAAGATAATTGTGGAAGATGTGGACGAGCCCCCCGTGTTTTCCTCCCCCTTGTACCCTATGGAAGTGTCGGAAGCTACCCAAGTTGGGAATATCATTGGCACCGTCGCAGCTCATGACCCAGATTCGTCTAACAGCCCTGTGAGGTAACCGCTCCTGGCTGTCTGTTTCTACAATTTCACAACAATGCACTTTATTCACAGTTCACATGTCTATGCTTTTGGTTCATAGAAAATAAAAACCAATTTTGACTATGTATCGAGCCATAACAGCAGACGCGAAACAGAATCAGAACAATTCAACATTTTGCTCATTCAGAATGTGCCACCTGATCTTCCAAAGCCATTATCACGTAGCAGTATTCTGAGGCATCCGTTATTATCCACAAGCCATAGCTGATGAGCCCCTTCATCCAATTATCCTCAGCTCTTTCAAGGCAAACTGTATTCAAAGGTGTAGTGATGCATGTCCTAGTTATAGGATACATGCATATATTAGAATACTAATTTATAGATAATTGAAACCAGGGATGGATATTTTTAAATCATTTTTTCATATTGGTCTATTTGGATAGTATATATTCATTTATATTATTATTTTCACTTATAAACAATAATATAATACCTAATATATGTATAAGGACTATTTTTAAATGTCCTTTCAGTCATCCTGTACAGAGAGGAGAAACATTATTATAACCAATTAACCTCTTTGGTCTAACAATTTACTCTTAAAGGATTTCAAAATGTCACAATATTCTAATTCACACTTTTTGCCTACTATTTACAATCCGAAGTCTACATGTATGTTTTTGTGTATGCATGTGTTTGTGTGTGTGCACATATGATAAATTATGTATTAAGTGAATATTATATTACACATCTTAACTTGGGATCATAAGTAAGACTTTTCAGTGTGACAGTTTGGATTTGATTATACAGTCTGCAAAGTATAAAAATCAATGAATGTTTTATATTCAGATATGTTCAGCTTATAAGCACAGCCTTTTAGATTTAACCCATATGTGAGAGTTCTAAGTGCTTTTGAGTTAAATTCTGAGCTAAGCCTGGACATTGACTACCAAGTGTGATGAAAAATATCTGTAATTTAGGCACTGATTCTTAAGAAAAGCTCATAATGTGTATCTCCCTTAAACTATAAGCATATCTATCTATCTATCTATCTATCTATCTATCTATCTGTATTAGTGCTCTTTTTCCTTCTCTTTTGTCAGACAGTTTAATATTTAGCATAGTTAAGAATTGGTATAATTGTTATTACAAAACTGAACTCATAATCATTGTTTCTCTATCTATATAAGAAATTCAGACCATTCAGATAGCTGTATTATTTTAAATGCAGTGCTCGTAAACCATTTTAAGAAATAATCTTTTGTTCCTTAGAATATTTGTAAATCACAAATATACCAGATGAATAAGCCTCCCCCTCTTTCCTATTAGAGCCCAACCTTCTTCGTCAGAGCAGCTCCCTGGCTTAAGCTCAGCTACATCCGCCTAGTCTTCTTACCTTGCACAGGCTTGAATTTGGGTTTTGTTATAGCATCGCATCTCTAGTGACACACTTTCCCACAGCACAACTGTAGGCATAGATCAGCTCCTCGGGATAGTTTGATTTCTGCTTAAATGATTTCATTTCATGGGGAGAAATACCGAATGTTTGCATGAAGTTGGGGATGTGGAAAAAAAAGACACACTAATAAATATTATAATTCAGTACTTGAATAAGAAGATTTACAGAAATTTTGATTTATTGCATTGGTATTTTAATCTTGTTTGCTTTTTCTCATGTCTTTGTGTGCCATCCTGTTAAAGCCTTTCAGAGTAAATATTACAACTTGTATAATATTTTATTTGTAAAAAATATAGTGTTATATAGTAATTTGGGGATGAAGAAGGAAGAGTAGGCCCAAGTGACTGGCGACTTGAGTTAGAGATGAAGTGAGTCCAGAAGCACAGAGACAGATACAAGGGACAAGGCCTGAACTCTGACGATTTGTTACATAAAAATCTCGATGGGCTTAATTAATGAAAGAGAAGTAGATTTCTACGTCCTATATTTTTTTTTAATCTAGTGAAGGTGACCTAAAAGTTCAGGTTAGTACTGTCCACTTAGGATTTTCTAATCCCTGAGTCTCACAAATCGGGAGATACAGACTTTGTTTAGAGTGAACTTAAATGTGATTTTTCATGTGACGACTTATTTTGCATTTGTAAAATTGATTTATTGGCTTACATTTAATAATGGAATTATTGAGACATTCATTTGTATAAGCTTAGCAAAGTTATTTGAGCTGACATTTTTCTGGATTTGTCTCTTCTGGATTTGTCCTTCCTGTCTATTTATGATATCCTTCAAGCCAACCTCATTTTGTAGTTTGGGGAGTAATATGTACCCCCATGCATCCTCTAAAAGACTGGTCCTCTTCCCAGCACTGCTATTGCAGAGTGACCTAGGAAGTAGAAAGGAAAGGCAAGCCTTATCCCTGCTTTATCCCAGTTTTTTCTTTTTTTTTTTTTAGGATTAAGTACCTAATGCTTTTATTCATTTTTAAATTCTTTAAAATCTTTTTTTATTGATTTCAGAGAAGAAGGTGAGACAGATAGAATCATCAATGAGGAGAATCATTGATTGACTGCTTCCTACACACCCCAACAGGGGATCGAGCCCACAACCCGGGCATGTGCCCTGATTGGGAATAACACTGTGACCTCTTGGTTCATAGGTCAGTGCTCAACTACTGAGCTATGCAGGCTGGGCAGTAACTGATGCTTTTAAACTGTGAATCGTGACTTATGTATTAGGAAGTAGTATCATTATGTTTTGCTATTATTATACCTTACTAGAGGCCCGGTGCACAAAATTTGTGCATGGGTAGGATCCCTAGGCCTGGCTTGCATTGAGGGCTGATCGGGTCCATCCGGCTGCCGGTCGGGGCCTTCCTTCGTTCCGTGCCGCCCCCTGGTGGTCAGCGCACATCATAGTGAGCAATTGAACTATGGTCTCCTGGTCGAACTCCCAAGGGGACACTTTGCATATTAGCCTTTTATATATATAGATTGTGTTTTCATGCCATTTTTATTTCAAAGTCAGTAATATCAGTGACAGGAGACATATTTTACAAGCAACTATATTGGCATTCTATATTGAAAATTGTTCTGTATTCACATAGAAATACATAGAAAGGATTAGGTGGTTGGTTAATGGGCATAAGCATGTAGTTGCACCCTCAACTAGCAAAATGTAAGTAACCCTCTTTTAGCAAATGCCAATGCCTGAGTAGGTAGGTAGCCAGTTTTCTGAGGTCCTAGGGAAAGTGTCCTCAGATTGAGATGGAACCAACTGTTAAGAGTCTTAACAGTTGTGAGCTTTGGGCTTTGATTCCCCCAGAAATATTGCAGTTCTTAGAGGAATGGAGAAGCAGTATTTGTTTCATTTCAATTGTTTAAAATTAGACCAATAGTATTTGAATTGTAAAGCAGAATGGGAAGTTGGATAATTAGTGTTTGAATTTTATTCACATTCTTTGTAGTAGAATACTGAAATCTAGCATTTGCTATTTATATTTGGAATATTTTCTGATAGGTGGAGCAAGAGATTAGAATTCTAGAAAGAAGTGCATTGACTTGCCTCTTCCCACATGATTTCTGCCTTGCCCAGAATTCTTAAAAATTTACCTACTTTTGGCACCAGTCAAAAACTCTTCATAAGTCTTCTCTGTGCATCTGCCTTTTCCTTAAAAAAGTACTGGGGCCCATATAGCACCGAAGGACATTTGGGTGGTTAGAAGTATAGTAGCAATTAGGTGGAAAGATTAAACAAACGCAGAGCCCAGTGATTGGCCAGAATAGAACAGCATTGTGAAATGCATGTACTTGTTATCACTTGCCAACAGCTAGCTGGGGTACCTAGCCCACCATGTCATGTATAATTTGGTTTCCTCTTTTCCCACATGGAAACTAGAAGCCAAAGCTGAAAATTATGTGAAATCTGAGGTTACTTACCTCCCCCCCCCCCAAAAAAAAGGCATTTTGAAAGCAAAGTGGATAACTGGATAACTGGTAGCAAGAAGTTTCCTGGCTTCCCTCCCCCCACCCCTTTTAAAGTACTAGTTACCATTTCCTATACATTTTGGCCCTGAATACCAAAGATGTATCAGGATTTTCTGTTGAACTTCCAAGAACAGATTGTGTTCTGCTAATTCCGATCATCTTTCTGAATGGCAGAAATGTCCCTTCTGTGTTTGTCATCCATAAAGATGTTAAAAACTGTATTAGCATCTGAGAGTCCAGAGGACGATTCGGTTCCCAGGTCAGCATTGGAAGCTGATATGCAGGTGCGTGGGCGAGATGAACACAAATGTGGCCCTGCTACACTCAGAATGACAAAAATCAGTGGAAATCTGAACAATAGATATAATGCAACAGAAGAATACATGGATCAATGAATCCTCATATGCGTGTTAAAAACCTGCTTTGTGCATGACACTAGGGAAAAAACTGGCAGGAAAGAGATGAATAAAACATTTCCTCTGACCTCAAGAAACTTACAGTTTGGAGGGAAAAAAGAATCGATTCCATAAAAGCTAAACAGTGTGAGGTGGAAAATGTCAGAGCTGTAACACTGAGAGATAAAGAATCACCACTCCGGACTTGAGACTCCATTTGAAAGAATGGTGGTATAAGCAGGGGTGAAGGATAGCAGGATTTGGAGCAGCCAAGAAAACATTATGCAAAGTCTGTTTATGTTTTATTTAGTTATATCTTCAGCATCTAGTGCTATACTTTGAAATCAGAGAATTTATTTCTCTGGCCGGCAACAACAAGCCCAAAGTCCCTGTGCCCAAAATAGCCAATGAATTGCTGCATAATATTATTAGAAGTAAGGTCAGATAGATGTGAAGGGGGGGGGGGTGGTGATAAAATTAATGAGGATAATTTTCAGCATTTTTAACAATTTAAATCCAGAAGTATATTTGTATTTATGTTTAAGGATACCAGAAAAATAACATTTACCTATAGGCTTTTTTTGCTAGTATGTTCTCAGTTAAAGGTGATAAAATAGTATGAGATGTTACATTATGTAGTGTGACTAGTATGAACACATGGGGGGTTTTGAATAATTCAGT